GGAAGCATTATCCACCGGTCAGTAGTCCGGGGTGCTGCAGTCTCCGGATCCTCGAGATTGAACACTTGCAACAACAACTCCTTCATTCTGCTGCCATGCTGTGGAAGTGAAAGAAGAGCATTCTCTAATTCATATTCCTCAACATTCCTGCTCACTTTCATTTGACGATCATGCACATCTGACTCATTCCCAACGATCTCCATTGGATCATCGGTCTTGCGGAATTCGACGCCCTCATCATCCACAACCTCAGACTTTTCACGTCCAATCATTAGATCATATGGGCGCGGTGCAGTCTTCTGCACATGTCTCAGTTGTGGTTTGTATTTCAATCTGAATTCCACTCGACCTCGCCATTCCTTAGTATCCTTTGGTTTCATTGACAGGAAATTCATCCCTGACAGTAACAGTCGAGCCATCGCTGTATTCTTTGAACCTCACTCTCTCTCCAGTCAATCTTGACCAGGGGCCATTGATAGGCACTGGAGCTTTGCTCGCCAGTTTGATCCTTGGATCCAACATTTCATTGCGCCACGCACGGACATGTCGGATCAATTTCTGTTCCGACTCATTCACTCCCCACATGTCCCATCGTGTGCCTTCTTTGGCTGCTGCAATCAGCGCTCCAATCTGGAACAAGGGGTCAATTGAGTCGTCATGCATATCCGACACTCCACGCAACTCAACAGATCCAAGTCCATTCTCAATTCCAGCCATCACTTCTGGAAGGCAACTCGCTGCCATTCTAGCCGCGTCTGCCACGGCATATGGTATGGCAGTCGGTGTCAAGTATTAAACGCAGGATTGCCAGTTGGATCAATGAAGGCCATGTAGTCCTTGAAGGCTTCGCCGCCATCACAGTCCAGAAGTCTTGCAGCAACAGTCGAACGACACTCACCTAATGGGAACGGTATCCCAGTGCACACGTAAAACTGTACACTCAACGAGTGGCCATTGCCACAATCAAGTTGCACAATCTTACGACCTTGCACATCCAGTGTCTTCCCAGACAAACTACGCAGTGAAGGGGCACTCCATTCAACGGCAAAACAGGATAATCCGGAACAAACCATTCCGGACAATCGTTCGCACAAGCTCCACTGTCAAACAAAATCCACGACTTGTCAGTCAGTCCATCTTGCATGTGAACCTCGACCAGTCTGTCGTCAAAACCCAAGCGATCAGTCTCAAGCACATTCCGGTTAGGGACAGGAGGCGCTCCAGCACTCAACGCTCCAAATAGCATGCATGCTCCCACGAACAAATTCGTTGCCGGTCCTGGTTTGGACCCTCGAACAGTCCTGGAAGATCTTGCTGCACTCTGATCCTGAGTGTCGACAGTCACGGCCGCAACATTCGGTGGTGGCTCACTCTACGCGCTGGCATTCGTCTGCTCGGCACTCCACCATTCCTGAGGACCCCTAGACCAGTCGGACCAGTAGCTCCCGTCATCTTCAGACCACGACCAGACACCAGACCAATCATCAAGAGAACCAATCCAATCCTGGTTCCAGTCATCATCCCATGACTCATTCATCACCATACCATTCCAGATCATTGTTTCATTCCTCTTGGCTTCCTTCCTGTTGTCCTTCTTCCTCTGTCAAGGCTGACATTCGTCCTTTTCCTTTACCTTTAGGGCATTCCTTGCTCCAGTGGCTGGATCGCCACACAAGAAGCATCCATTTCATTTAGACTTTCCTTTACCATATGCGAAATTCATTCTTTTTCCTTTCTTTCCTTTGTGTCCTTTGCCTTTTCCTTTGTACATTCATTTTCCTTTCTTATCTTTCCTTTTCTACCCTTTAACGCACCTATGTCCATGTCGACTGGACCATCATTTCGGCTTAGCATTACAAGTTTTTTGCTCTTGCCGTAGCTGTACATAACCTCCAGTGCCTCAGTGAACGTGTTGATGTTCCTGACATTCAATCTCAGGTGCTGCTGCAGTGGATCAGTCGTCTTCTGCATGATCAACGTAATCAACAGGTCATTGTCACGCGGCACTCCAGTAGTCTTCTCATGTCTGTTCTTCAAGATGATGAAATCCCTCAGGTCACTCTCCAGATGATCACACCGCAATCGAAAGGCAACGATCTCATTCAAGAGATTCGTCGCAAGGGCTCTGTTCGGCATGAAAAACTCGTTGTACAGTCGACGCCAAATTTCAAAGCCAGTCTCCGTGTCTTCATTCCTCCAAGTAACAATCGCTCTAGCAGCTCCATCAGTGATCTGTGCCAACGTATATGCCAGTTGCTTAGCAAACAGTGACATTTGGTTGTTTTGAGTAGTCGTTTGTTGCACGTCACAGGCTTCACACAACCCATCAGTCACCACCTTCTGGGCATTCAGTTCAATCTTATCCATCAGTGATTCGGCCAGTGGCTTGTACAGTCCCACGTACCTCTTCATCTGCCACGACCAGTCATCCCATTTCTCCAGCTCTGGTTGTACTGAGGAGGCGGGAACAGTTTCAGTTCGCCACCAATTCCCCTCTGTCCGAAGTCCATTCTTTCTCACTTCTTCCCTTTCTCAGGCACCGAAGCTCCCACCATGCAAAATTCCACTAAACAATCCAAACAATTATAACCAACCAAGATCAATCACTTTCCCCAATCACACAACACTCCGGGTTCCTTTGTGCAACCAAGCAGTCGTCCAATCTTGAGCAAATGCCATTCGGCATTGTTGCATTCACAAATGCATCTTGAACATTATGGGCTCATTGGGCTCGTGTCATTTAACAGAGAGGGCGAGGGAGAGAGGGAGACAGAGAGAGAGTGAGACAGAGGCTAGACAGACAGACAGACAGACAGACAGACAGGCAGAGAGAGAGAGAGACAGATTGAGAGAGATTGACAACTCAGTTGGGGCGTAGCGCTTCGCAGAGCAGGCTATTAAAAGTTAGTTTAAGAATATTTCAGAAAACAGTCTTATCACAGTTGTGAGCCTAGCAATTTCGGTCGGCCGTTGCACATCAGAAATATCAAAACCCGTGTTTTGGATCTCACGAGCTCGAGGGAAACATTGTGATGTTGGCTTTGCGTGGGACGTGATCGCCTGTTGGTTTCTTGCTCCAAGGCTCAACCCTGAAGCACAATTCACACATCACAAGTATGGTTGGTTCGAGAAAGGAACCTGCTGATTCCTCACTGAGCTTCTTACAGATAAGCGACCTTGCAAATGGCTAAGCTTATTGCAACGCGAACGCTGGTCGTATCGAGAAGGACCCGGACCATCGAGGATGTAAGCCCCAATGCCCCCAAACTCACAAGCGGTGCAGATGTCCCTTGTGGCAAGGATATCCCGATGTATCGTGCATCCGTGCAAAACCGACATCCAGAACCCCACTGTGGGTAGTCTGTACGGTACATCCATCACTACCCACCACATCCCACCACTAGGGAAGATTCCTTTCCAAGTACTGCCAACGGAACGTTGACTTGACATCTTCAAGGTTCATCCTTCAAAATGCCGAAGCACTGGCCTGGATTGGCCAAGCTATGTTTGATGTGCAAGGTTTGGTTGGCCTCATGAAAATGTATGCAGTCAGTATGACCAACTCGTAAATGCCAAGGCAGGGTGTGAGTGTATGATCTGTGTCGAGGGGTACACACGCTTTCGACCATTTGTCCTAGGAAGGACCTGACAGGACCCAGAGAAGAGTGATTTGGAAATACGGTAACCGGCATGAAAAATCGGATGCCAGTTCAGCCCTCCGAATATAGATCTGACCTTTTGCTGAGCCGGCGATGTCGACTCGCAAACCTGTGCATGCCACGGCAGGGCTGACAAATGGCCAAGAGACTCAATCTGGGTTTGCGCCTTGTTCAAGTTCTTGTGCCAATTGCTTCTGCGACCTGAGGTAAAGGCTCCTCTGCTTTGACGAACTCTTTCAGACTTGCTCTGAGGCTTCGGCGCATCGTCCACCAGCTGTGCTTGGCGCTGAGTGAGGGTCGTCTGCCAAGAGCCTGGGCCAGCATCGGTACGGAGTGCCCAATTCCAGCAGCGTCGAGCATGCTGCATGTGCACGCGCCGTCGGGGCTGCTTTTGTGATGTCTTGTTGCTATATCTCTGAGCACGACCTCAGCCGATACTCGGAACCTGTCCAAGGGGGAGCTCACCATTTCGTCGCCGCTCGACAACACGAGCCGAGAGATGAGCCAGGGACTCCAAAGCCTCTGGCGCTCGAAAGGCTTTGCCGCCGAGCGCGTCCTGGAACTGAAGCCTCGAAGTCGCCGCAGTCGCCGCTGCAGGGGTGCCGGCGACCTGCTTCGGCTCAGGCTCCACCACGGCTGAAGCCGGAGCCAAAGCTCCGTGCTCGCCATTTGCTTCTTGGCTCTCGATTTGAGACAGAAGAGATCCTTCCTGCAGAACTTGCCGCAGCAATTGAAGCTCCTCATGGGGCAGCGTACCGGGCACAACAACCCTACTGTAGCTGCGAACCATTGCATCTCAGGTCCTGGGCCAGCAAGGCGGTCTGGTCTCGCAGAAGCCGTACCTCTTCCGTATGTTCTTCCACGTTAGAGGCCGGCAGCTCTCGCTGCAGTCTTTCCAGAAGCGCCTGTCGGTCAGGTGGCGACACGTCCAAGTCCTCGCGGGCTGGGAAATGCCCGACAGCTCCGCGTCGTTGTCGGTTGCGGCGGCCACGGGATGAGCCAGCCGAGAAGGGGTCCAGTCGGCCCACCAAGGCCACAAAGCTTCCCCTGCTGCCCAGGCTCCCCCATCCCAGCCATCCCAGCACCAGGGCAAGTGCGCAACCGAACCGCGCCATGGCGAAAGACTCTTCGGCCCTTCCTCCGATCTACGTCATGCCATCCCCACTTGAGCATGAGACAGAGTTCAGACGAGTTCAGCACTTCCAAAATGAGAGCGGAGGACATATCACTCCAGTGGAACCCCGAGCTTTGACTCGCATGATGAGTTTTCCAGGAGCACACAGCGTGACGGGATGGAACAGGTGGGAGCGACGGATCTCGAATTCTCAAGCAGACCGCTGCTGCCAAGAATTCGCTGCCGCGAGAGCGCAAGGCAGACGCTCAAGTCCAGGCTTCTCCCGCAGCTCGCAGAATCACCTGCGTTGCAGATCAAGCCGTCACCTCGCGGGTTTGCTTTGGTCCGCAGGTCCCGGCCTCACCCGGTTTCAGGCCCAGCTTCGTCAGCTCTGCAGCTATTGCCTAAAAGATCCGGATGTGCACTCGACAGTGAAATAAAGACATCATGATGAAACCGCGCTTTGAAAGCAGATGCTCCGGCTGTGCACCGAAACAAACAAGCTTGTGAATCTCGAGCTTTGAAATGACGAACGAGTAGAATTCGGAAGTGTAGGAAGATTCCGTTAAAGACATAAGTTAATGACGCTGAACTGTGCTGAAGAGCTTCGTCGGAATCGAGATTGCAGGTTTGTTCTGCGTTCACCCACCAAGAATCTCAGGAGAGTGCTACCCCGGCCCCATGATATTTGAGAGCCCCTGACCCCGCTGCGAGCCTTCGCCACGCAACTTTCGTTGACCTGTTGCGAGCTCCAAACAACTAGCACAAAACACTTTTAAGACATCGGTCCCGCAAGAAGTCATGCGCGAAAGTGCCTCACCCAGCCAGGTCTTCAAGCAAATCTCAGCCTCCGTGGCCACAGGCTCACGTGTATGGCGTTGAAGCAGTGCAGAGATGAGTGAGCCGCCTCTTTCAACCCGAACTCATGCGAGCACACGGCTTCGCAGCCAGCACCCTTTGCAACTTCCATCCACTTTGGAGCCTTGGCAAACCAGTCGATCCACGAAGGTTAGTATAGGACCTCGTTCACTACCGCAGCAATTTGTTTGAAATGCCTTTCCCCAAGCCAAGCTGCCCCATTTGGAAAAAGCGGAGACGCATCTATCACTTTTGGCTTCAACGCCCTCGGCATGACAGCAATGCTACAGACCTCTTCTGGTACTTGACGAAACCCGTCCTCCCTCTTCACTCACAGCACATGCTTTCTTTCAAGCAAGGCTCTGAAAAATTGGTTTGAAGGTTTCGTCGAGCAGGTCAGCAGGCCACTCTGGCCTTCGTTCCGGCACAGCAAATTACTACTGCGTTATTTGTACTACGGATCCGAAGACGTGTACGACAAGGATGTACGAGTACCTTCTGCAGGCTGCTTTCGCATTCACACCGCACGACATGAAGTCAAGAGGCTCGAGAGACACCACGACGTCTAAAGTCTTGCAGCTCCGAACCTTGCGGTAACGAGCACAAGTAGCAGCACAGTATGTGCAGCCCAACGAGCAGGAGGAAAAGCAGCAGGCCTCGCTGGGTTCCCACAGCTCGGAGGATGCAGCCTGGGAGACCACAGAATGACCGTGTCTTGTCCGTCTGCACACTGTTTTGTCGGTGCAGGTCACACTGTGCGGACAAGCTTCGCCGCTCGAGCCTGTGACGTTGCAAACACGAGTCTCCTCGAAGCCTGCCGCACGAAGGCCTCCAAGTATGGCGTTCTTCGATGGGCCCGAACCGAGGACAAGCGCCGTCCTCTTCTGGGCCTTGCTCTCCAGCTTGTCTACGACAGCCTGTGACTTCACGCTGTGGCCCGCAGGCTTTGTGTCACCAGCAGCGATGCAGTCGACATAGGCGGACGATTTCGCCAAAGTCGATAGACACAGCCCTGTCGCTTCCCCAACTTCTTGAGAATAGTGTCCACACAGGACGTCCACAAGCAGTGTGCCACCAGTCGATGCCAGGAATGCCAAGCGAGAAGCCTCTTCGGCAGTGCTTGCGAAGTCCACGCTGCAAGCATGAGGCAATCCAGCTAGCCTGAAGTACGCGCTGAACATGTCCCTGTAAAAGCCAGACACTTTGCTGCACTCTGTTGTGCAGGAACTTTCCCACTGTCTGATAATCGCGAACTGTCTAGATGCGCCGAAAAGGCTCAAGGATCTTCTAATGGAAAGAATGTCTTTCACGGACATTTGCCCGGGAGCGCCTGGAGTCAACCCAGGATGCATAGAGGGGCACATAACCTGATTGAGAACTCTGGACAGTTTTCCAGTCTCGCCCAGGCAGAGCCCAATAAACGCTGCTGTATCTGGGACCGAAGCTTTCCTAGGCTGCCCCAGGTGCCCGCACTGCGCAAGCTTGGTGAACACAGTATGTGGCGTACTAGATTGAGGCGCGCGCCCTGCTTCCTGCACGGCCCAGTTGTCCTCCCTCACCCGTGGCTTCACAACTACTTTCGCGATGGCCGCTGTGCCCTGGAGCAAGCACTTCTTGTACCTTGGCTGTGCGAGAGCGGCTGTGAATCAGAACGTTCCGTCACTGCTCCGAGGCACACATCCGCCAGCTCTGTCCGATCAAGCATCCTGCAGCTTTCAGAGATCAGGAACTGCGGTTGTGGCTCTGAGCAGTCTGCGGCACTCGCTTCACCTTTGATTGTGACCTTCCTCTACAAACCCGCTGCAGCAGAACACTGGAACCAAATATGTGTACCGATGGTGCGTGCTAATGTGGCAACGACTGTCACGAAGGAAAGCCGGCCCACATTGCAATCCCCAGCATGAGCTGCATGCTTGCCGTCCTGTCAAAGTTGTGGTATGAGCCGACCAACTTCGTAGGACCTTTTCTTGCCGCGAGTGCTGCAATCTTCGGAGTACTCCACGTGCATTCCTGGGGGGAGCTTTGCACTTCGGGCTTGTGGTAATCTTATCCAATGCAGCATATTCGCAAAGTGTCTATGAGTCTATGCCTTTGTAGACACACATACACACTTACACCTGCAGCATGTCAGGGTAAACATGTAGGCACAGTACTACTGCATCCGCTGAGCATTTATTCGTACACAGCGGCAACACGTGACAGGAGCCAGGGCTCCACGTCTAGGAATTCTGCGCATAGCTGAAGCCCGAGCATGTTCAGCTCAAAATACCTCGGCAAAATGGATGCTGAGCACAAGAATCGGAAGTGCAGTCGCTGCTACTACGCTTCTGTTTTCGAAAGTGTTTTTTTTACTGAGACATAACGAAATGATTGCCAGGTGGCTCATCCTCAGAGCCTGCGAACTTGCCTCCGTGATCAACGGAACCTTGTGCCCAAGCGCAAGATTTGGCACAAGGTCCGTCGAGAGCACAACTCTTCCGCACTTTTTCCTAGCACTCGCGCTCGAAGCTCAGGCGAGGTTTAGGGCAGGGAGGACAAGCAGCTATCAGCAGCCCATCACGAGCCCCAAGCAAGGAAGCACTATATAAGCATGCACCTGTCACAAGGTCTCCCAACCGCACTTTGCGACCCTTGGGCTTCCGGATGCCTGGGGGTTCATGAACACCACGGCCCGATCTAGCATATATGTTGACACCGACGATGTATGCGCATGTATACGATTGCATACGACAGGTATCATAACTTTCGATTTGCATCCATGCTTACAGTTTATCTAAACATATACACGCGCACATATATACACAAGGTATACTCTAAATTTGTACATACACACCCATGTGACACATTAATCTTTCCTGAAACGAAATAACTTGTCTTGATTGTGTCGCGTTTAGCAGGCATTTGTGCCCTTACAGGCTCTCGGATGAGGCTCCGTCATCAATGAAGGGATGTGCTTAGATGGATCTTGGCATCCGACATCGGGCTGGTCTGTAAGCATCTTGGATCGTCTTGGTACCAGTAGTGTGCCGCTCGTAATTGCATAGCGGCAGACTTTTACAAGTCGTGCTCAATCGTCTACCCCGACAACAGCAGGCATCATTGGCGTGCCTAAGAAATGAGTAGGGCGGACCGCAGGGCGATTCAAGACATGTGGAGCATGTGTGTCATATTTTGACAGTTTGCCGAGCGTTCTGGCGAAAACCTACGACCGGCAACAAAGCAACCCACACTGCAGCAAAAACAAGGCTACCATATGGACACGGGGTCAGAACATGGAAGCATGCTTTTGAATCCGCAGACCACTGCATGCCAGGGCGTTAGGTCCTTCACAAGCTCTGGGAAAGCAGGATTCTTCCGATGCCGTCTACAGCTTCAGGATGCTTCCCGCCCCCAGCTCTCTGAGACATGGACGTACCGTGTACAGCAAAGGAGTGCCGGGAGCGATCCGACGCACGAGGGCCACCTGCAGCCAGTGCTTGAATGCGAATTCTCGCTAGTCTTCAAAGGTTCGGTCCATGGTTGAGCATGGAAGTGCATTTTCACAGGTTGGAGAGTCGGGAGTTGGAGGAGCTCTTCTTTCGTGAGACACCTTGACACCTGGCCTGGTGCACGATGTTGCCATGATCCAGCGAACCGAGGAGGTCGACCCTGAACTCCAGCACATCTGCGGCTCGGGCAGCTGAGCGAAGAATCTCCGCAGAAACCTCACGGATCTAGCAATGCTTGCTCGAAAGCCCTGCTCCTTTGCAAAGGCGGGTTCCATGACCCGTCATCATGTTTCTGAAACGTCCCCAACTCGCTTCGAAGCTTGCTGGATTTAAATTAGGGTTTCAGCACTCACTCTCGGACTTGCCCTGGGCGAGGTTCCTGGTACACGGCGAGCAGCACTTTGGATTTAGGTTTATGGTTTAAGGGCTACAGGGTTAGAGAGTTTACGGTATTAGTATACGACTTCCAAAAAAATGAAACAGCAGGCTCGTTGTATGCATGCACTAAGCACTTCGGCCCCTTTTGGCTTGTGTGGGTTAACTGGACTCTCTTGTCTTGATGCATGATGCGAGCCTCGCTGTAGTTAGCTGCGGTGAGCGTGATGAAGAAGGAGTCGCTCACCACAGCCGGAGACAGGCAGCCCACGGCAGAACTGACCTTGCTTCGTGCAGGAGTCGGGATTGGCTTGAGTTTCGTACCCGAGCTCCCCGCAAAGCGGGCAAAAGCGGACGTCAGGGAGTGCAGATCTGACTCCCCTTGGGCCACAGGAAAGCGGAAGTCAGCGGCCTGCACCTCAATGCGAAATCGCAACAACGCTCCCACACTTGTGCTACCAAGCAGCAGCTACGTAGTGACTTAGCTCGTGCTGAGAATCCCCACGAGACATATCTTTACGGGCTCTGCAGCCGAGGCGACATATTTTGGAAGGCGGCGCTTGTAAGTGTCCTGCAGGAAATGTCAAGATACAGGCACGGGAGTCAATCCCACTGCCGAGCGTGTCCCTGGGATGCTCCCCGAGAGATGCTCTGTGAACTTGAGCAGACGGATCACCCCTGGGCTCAACTGACACACATCAGCAAGCTTATGGCTGCAACCTAAGGCTTCATGGATGAATTTGGGTGATTTGAATGCCTGCTGGATGCCAAGGATCTCCAAAGTTTTCACTATGTCATCGATCGGACGGTCAATCAGGACCACCTTCGCAGTTTATTGTAGGCCGTACGGTGACTGGCCCTGCCACGCTACGGCAACAGTTTCCCTGTCAACATCGAAGAGGACAAGCGTCGGGATGATGGCTGCTCATCAAATCCATTCCCCGAGAGGTTTCGATTATACCCCCGCCGCAGGCGATGATCTTGGCCTGTAACTGTCAGCAAGAGTCGTGAACTGAGCGGCATCGCACAGCACGCCCAAATATGTCTGGCCTTGCTGCCCGAGGCCGCCTTCTGAAAGCAGTCTGCTTCCAAGGCACGGAAGGCCTCCCAGCCTTCCAAGCAGGCAGTCTTTTAGTCATACACGGCCCTGCGCTGAGGCTCTGAACGGCCTTGCTCTGCGACGATTTGGGGTGGAAGCTTTCCGCCAGCCGCACGAGTAATGACCTGTTAACCGCGTCTTGGTGAGCCAGCACCCTGTTGCTCAGTCCTTGTAAGGGCGGGGCCTCGTCCAAGTCATCAAAGTCAAAGCCAAGCATTTTGGCGGCATCTCGGCCCAGTGTAGTTTTTCAAGCCTTTCGACAGTGGCAGATGTTCAAGCAGGCTGTTTCGCATCGTCGAAAGCCAGGGAAGTCCAAGCGGCACCGCGCATGCCGATCAAAGCAACCTGGACCCGGAAGCTTTTTCTTGACGGGCTGGCTGGGGCCGGGGACCTAGCCGGATTTCTGATCATGCTGCATGCCAAGATTCCACCGGCGCATCAGCCTGCATAGCCGCCATGGTGCAGGGACACCCGTCCAAACGATGCTGCTAGCTTGCTCACACGTGGTGCACTGGCCCGGCAGAGGAAAGGTTGGCTCTGGAGGTCTTAGCCCTGCATTTGCTTGTGATGACATGACACTTGAGCCACCCGAACGTTGCAAGTGTCATCTCGATTAAGGTTGAGAGCTTCGGAGGGCGACGGCCGCCCACTTTACTGGATGACATCCCCAATGAGGTGAGGACCCACTTGGCCAGATCGGAAATGATCAGGATTGACACGACCTTAGCACGAGACTGGTCGGCGCATGGCTGCCGCGAAAGATATGCTGCGTTGGGAATGCGTGGCAAGGGCATGATGTGGACCTTTTCCGAAAGCGATGATGCCTTCATGGCGGCCGCGAAACGGCAGAAATGCATCAACTCCTGCTGCTAGTTGTCAAATGGCAGCTGAGATTCACTGCCAAGTTGACAGGGAATGCAGTACTTGAGTCCGTGTTTGTATCATTTTTACACTGTCGTCTACTCGCCGACGATAGGGCGAGCCTGTACCAAGTGAATTTCCCTCGATCCACCTCGCTCAAGGACGACGCCTTCCATGTCCATAGGAACACCATACCCTGGCATAGTTGGAAACATGGATAGCACTGCACACAAAAGCGGGAGAGAATCTGTGCTCAGCCTGTTGGTCAATTGATAACTGCCTCAGTTTATGCACGCCGAAGCCGCGCCTTTCTCAATGCCAACAGCAACCTTGCCGATGTCGCGGGCCATCTGCACAAGGTAGTCCCGATCCGTACTAAGTCTCTCCTGGGAGTAGTCGATCGGGACCTTCTTGAGACCATCTGGCATGTCCTGGAGGCCGAAAGAAAAGCTTCCCAAGGACGCAACTTCCACGTCGTGAGGCGGCTGCTTCTGCACAATCCTGGGCTCTCTCTTGCAAAGACTTCTACCTCACTGTCTCTCTCTCTCTCTGCCCCCCAGCAGCACAGATGGATTCTGAAGTCTGGGGACAAGCGGTAAGGAGTTCCCGGCTCGTTGGCCGATGCTAGCGTCTCCCCTAGGCCGATGCACAGCTCGATGTACACCGCGTTGTCATTCCGTGCCACCGCGTCCTTCGAGAAGGCGATGAAGGCATAGACACTCCCCGCCAAGGAGACCATGGGCTGCACCAGGACGCCCATTGCGATGCCCTCGTAGAGTGGCATTCCGGCAGCATGTCGGCTCTGGACGGCCCGCAATGTGAACATGCTGCTCCAGACCTGAAGAATGGCGTTCTGGAGCTTGGTCTGATCCTTCAAGGCCACTCCTAAGACGGAGTCGTGCAGCCCGGCCCCAGAGACCTTCTCCAAATCCTCGCTGTTCGCGGACGATCGAACTGCAACGCGCTCGGCCTTCGGCAGCTTGGCTGCAATCTCCTGGCAAATGCACAGCCGAATCTCTAAACCAGTCCCTCTAAGCTTGTTTGTTGCAGGAAGTAAACTATGCGAAGCCGCGATCGAACCAAGCCTGAGCAAAGCCGGTGCAGTGCTGTCCTTCAGAACATTCCCAGGTACTGACAGCTTCTCCACAGCAGCCCGTACAGCAAGGGCTGCTGCTTCAATGTCGGGAGAGTTGCTTCCCAGTTTGGACTGCAGCTGTTGGAGTGCAGATTCGAAGACTGCTCCCTGCACCGCTTTCTTCATGACGCCGAAAGGTATCGCAACACCCTTCGGGGCTTTGAAACCGAGCTCCATGGCAAGCTTCTCAAGCTTACCCGAAGAGGCGGCTTTGCTGCCTGCGAACTGAGGCTGGTCCGCAATCTCTACCTCAGATCTGTCACATGCAGCGCTTGGCAGCGGATGAAAGCACAATCGTGGATGCAGGTCTCAGGCCGGCACGACCTCGAAGACCTTGTCACTGACGAGGTTCAGTTCGCCGAGCTTGGGCTTCTTCACGGCTGTCGTCTTGCTCTCGCTGACGGTGAGCTCCGAGTCGCCAACTCCTTCTGCATGCACATCGCCAGAAGCACTGACGGAGAGCCGCACGGCTCTGCCTGGTTGCGCCGCTGCCTGGACTTTCTGGAAGAGCCCAGACTCGGCAGTGCAGGCAAAGACCACCCCGAGTTGTCGGGCGCGCAGCGCGAGGTGGCTCAGCACAGGAAGGTCACGGGCCACGACAACCCCTTTAACCAGATTGGGGATCTCCTCGTCACCGCTGGCTTCTTCGCAGAACACCACAGTGCCTTCCTTCGGAAGGGTCTGGTTCCAGGTCTCGGCCAATGCCCTGAGACGTAGGCAGCGGCCCACACAAGCTCCGGCCGAGATAGCTGTCCAAAGTGGAAGCCCGGCACAGGCTTTTGCTTGCTGCATGGCCAGTTGTGCCAGCTTCGAGACTTGGAACAAGATGGACGCACGAAGCTCGGCCTCAACGAAGACAGAGATTGCATGTGAGTCGATGTTGAGGGCCCTGCCCAGATCTGGCACGCCAGAATATGCTTGCTCAAGAGCTGCTTGTAGGTTGAAACAAATCCGCAGCGTACGGTCCATGGTCGCCACCAGCCTCTGAGGAAGGAAGGGGCCCTTGGAACCATCGGAGATATGCGGCGACACAGATTCTGTCTCTTGAATAGCTATCTCACACTCCTTCTGAGAGATGCCTGTCAACTGCGTCTGGGCCAAGGCTGAGACCAAAGACCTCGAGAGACGTTCCCACCATGAGCGAGAACCCCGACTCTCGTGCTCCAACTGTCCTGCCACTTGGCTCAAGAGCACGAACGCATACTTCTCCAGCTCAATGTCCAGCCTCATCCAGTTCTGCTCAGCTACCCTATTTATGACCATCTTGCGAAGCTCCGTCAGGGCACCGAGCTGGTGGAAAGGATCTGCATTCGAGAACTTCAGGTGCAGGAGGTGATCCACTGCACCCCTAACGCTGCCATCCTCCTGGGCAATCTTCCGAGCCGAATCGTCCAATCCTGCAGGCACTGGAGCTCCAAGAGCATCACCCCCATGCCCTGAACTCCTATGATACCCCATCAAAAGAAGCTGGCATGAGCCCCAAGCCTGTGGCATTGAAGAAGTCCCGCAGCTCAACTTGAAAGATGTGCATCTCCCGAACGAATCCCTCGGAGTAGCCACCCTCGCGGTCAATGCGCTCCACCAGCTGGTCCAGCTTCACCAAGTCCCCAGGGTCCGCGCAGCGGTGAAGCTTGTTCTGGAGCTCGTGCCTATGGCTGGGTCCGGTCAGTCAAGGGAACTCGTAAATGGCCACTGTGGCAAACATCAGTATCGTGCAAAACAAGACCAAGTGGCAGAAGCGTTGCAAGTGGCTTTCTGCCTGCCTCTGTTTACTATCTGCCCACCTTTCCTGTCAACGAGGCAAGTGCGGTTGTCGTGATCGTAGTGCGGTGGCTTTGGGGGGGTTGGCGGTCTGCATCACTTGTACAGGCAGTCTGTGCTCATTGCTCCTACTGCTCTTGTTGCCTTGGTGCAGTCGCCGGTGGTTGTGGCATGTGCAGCACAACGTTCATGATTGGTGGGGTGAGGCCTCACAACTGTCTCAATTTCAGATCGGTGGGGACTTCGACTTCATCAAGGACCCGATCAGGCGGACACTGCACTTCTCAAGCACTCCTTCGTTTTGATGTAGAGCAGAAGAAACAGGGACGCAGGAAGGAGCTGAGTCTTGCAGTGGGAAGGCTTTTCCTGCAAGGAGAAGAATCTGGTGGTTCCCGTTGTCTTTCTTCATGGGATTCCACAGAGTTGGCACTGCAGTTCGGGGAAGCACGGCCAGACACGATTTCGACAGGTCGGTGAAATGCATGTGCACTCATTCATGCACCGGTGAAAAGTCAGGCTCCAGGACATGCCTGATTGAACGCACACAACTGCGATTGGGACGCGAACGAAAAAGCTGAAACTCACATCCACACCCAGCTACTAGTATGAAGATGTACAAACATATAATACTAATATACGTACAACACATCAGCGTCACATATGTTCTGTTCACAACTAATACAAATAGCCAACCCCTTAATAAAACATACGTGTGCGTACATACATACACATACACAGGCACATGCTGACAATATGCTTCCAGACACATTGATCTGGGACATCATTAACAGACGACTTCGAGTACAAACCCCACACTTCGAACACCACCTCAGCAACATTTCAACTACTTCACCAACTGTTTGAGCATCTGATCACGTATACATATACATATACGTATACATATTAATCTTTATATCTGTGTGTGCGTCTGTGCGTATATTTGCACATGTCTGTGTTCTCTATAGTGCCTCACACACAGAGCCTTCTAAGACCTATGTTTCTGACTTTCAGGTGGGGTATGTCTCAGCGAGAACTAAGCGAAGAACAGCTCCACAGTGTATAGTTTTGTCTTCATACATATGCAAGTTTGTACAAGTTTCTGCACACGCGCACACACACACACAGACACACTCCCTTTCTCTGAAACATAGATATATATACACATGTATATATATATATACACACAAAATCTGAATTATAGGTAGATAGATCGGTAGATTGATAGATTCTGATAGATAGCAATCTATGCAGGGAGGTAGAAAAAGAGAGCGAGAGAGAGGAGTATGGAGAGAAGGGAACCCTAGAGAAGGGGGCAGAAACAAAGAGATAGTGGCGTAGAGGGAGACAGGGGTACAGGAAAAGGCGGAGAGACCAGAGTGGCATGGATCAATGTGCATGTGATTGTGCACAAGGCAGCAGTGCGATGGCGAGATGAAATCGGCATGACTGCTAATTCGGAATGTCTCTCAGACGAGTGCAATGCAAAGACCAGAAGAGTTCCACTCGTGGGAGCATGATCGCATGATCGAGCCATGCCGAGTCTGCTGAATCGCAACAATTCACCAACAGTAGCAGCATGTTGCAATGTAGCAGCAATGCAGAAACACACTTCGAAAGCTGTGTCTCAAACAGCTGTTGCAGCGTGCACAAAAGCGAAATATGCGCGTTGACAACATAATCGTCTTCAAGCAAGGTCGCTTGATGTAGAGCTTCATGTCCTTTGGGATGTCGTTGCGGTGGGCAATGTCTCGAATTCGAGTCATGGGAACGGCACATGTAAATTCGTCAGAGAAGGATGGCAAACACGGGAAGATGCGGCGAGCAATGAAAAGCTCGGCATCTCCGTTGGAAGCCAAATCCCACAAAGCCTCTGTGACAGCCTTGGCAGAGTTGGCGGCAGCACAGGGCCTGTGATGGCCTCCGTCTTCTTTGCAGGAGATCTGGCCACTGGATATCCATGTCAAATAGGCTTGCAAACAAGCCAACTCCATCAATGAGTTCAGCTGCTCCTCCTCCATCAGTATTCGCGGCAGCTCCAGCTTTAAGCGATAGCTAGACCTGTCGCAATTCTCCTGCGCAATGCGTTGGATGAAATCAGCTGTCTTCCCAGTCGCAGTCGTGGTGTTCAGCTTCTTTCCTTGGCCAGGAGGCTTCTTTGGCCGCTCGCTCTGGGAGCTGTCCCAAATGTGAGTAAGGACAGGGGCCTCCGCCTCTCTCCAGTTCCTGTTGGCGCGTCCTTCCCACTTCGGCTGCTGGCCCTTCTCCATGATGACAAACTTGAAGAGCGTTCCTGCACCTACACCATGGGGCATCTCGGCCAGAACCCAGAGATCCTCATGCTTCTGCATCGGGGCTCCGGATGCAGGGGTCCAGGAGCCCAGGCTGGGAACCTCTCCACAGACCACAACCCGAGTGTTGGCCTTCTCCAGGTGCTTGGGCAAGCGGAGCTTCAAACAGATGTCCATGCTCGGCACTCGCTCTATCACTGGTTGCTGCGGCAGCTCAGGCTCGTGCTCCACGCTTCGGGGAGCCGGCTCAAAGGCTTGCGGAGCGGCGGCGGCGCTGGCTTTCTTCACCGGGCTACGCTCGGGACTTGTTCCGGTCGAAGCTGGCTGCGCTGCCTGCGTCTGCGGCTCGCCGGACCTAGCCTCCTCGTATTTCGCTTTGGCTGCTTTGCTGATCCACACGCACCAGCCGTGACCAGATGCACCCTTTTGCCAGTAGTTTCGGTCATAAGCTGGTCCGACACGAGGCCCCAAGGCAACCCTGAGCACAGCTGGAGCACCAATCTCTGCGATGTACAGGTCGTGGTCGGCCTGCAATATCTTGGCAGGGAAATCCACCTTCATGCCGGACTCAATGCGCAGCCGGAGGATCTTCTGGATGTCGTTGCGGACATTGTCGCCCCAATCACAAACGTGATCCCAGAAGACACACGGAATTCCTGGATGGGTGAGGATGTATGCGTATCCGATCATGATCTTGTCGTTGGGGAAGGGCCAATGTGCCTGGGTGCTTCCTGTGTCGTGGTTGTCCAGGAAAGTGACGGCATGACTCGGCATCCAGCCGATGACTCCTGGAGGTTTGCCTTTTGGGTCCTTCAGCCGCCAGTACTGGCAGTTTCGGACGGCCTCCTGGAGAACACCTTTCGTGGTGAAGTCGAAGGCTGTGCTGGATTTGCCGGTCGCGTTGATCCAGTTGATGGTGTCCTGGCGATGGCGATCCTGGTTGTATGCCAGGCCGTTGTCGTCGTATGCCATGTCCAACCATAGCTCGCCCACGGCCCATGCAGGCTCAGATTTCTTGCAGTACAAACCCACAAACTCTGCCGAGTAGCCCTTGACGAAGTCAAAGCGCCAAGCATCGAATCCGAGCTCAAGGCGAAGCCATCGAAGCCAAATTTGGATGCTTTGCTGCACCTTCTTGTTCCCGTGATCAATGTCAGGCGCCGCGTCAAACTTCCCATCGTACTTACCCGGTCCTCGCTCGCCGGTGCCATCCGAGAACTTGTCCCCCAAGGTGATGGCCCAGCCCTGCCAGTCCATAACCCCTGCAAAGCTCGGGCGATGCTCCATGCCAGTGCTGGTGAAGACATTCCATCGTCCGTCCGAGTCCTGTTTGTCGCCACACCGGTGATTGATCACAATGTCCGCTACTCCACGCATATTCGCCTTGTGCAGCTTCGAAAGCAAGCTTTGGAGCGAAGCTTTGTTGCCATACTTGGAGCCATCGACGTTAAAGAGCTGAGATGGGAGGTAGCCCTGTGGTGCAACCGACTGGGAGCAGGGTGGCAACCAAAGGTCTGTGATGCCCATGTCTTTGAACATTGGTATCTTGGATGCCACTATGCTGTACCAGTCTCCTTTGCCTGCCTGGTGACTTTCCCAATTAAAGGCCTGAAGCATTACAGTCTTAGAGGGATCAGCATAGTCTGTGATCTCTTGCATCTCTTGTAGAAGCGTGTGACTGGAGACTCGTCTCTGCTTCATGTTGAGATCTGCACGCGCCAGGTCTGCCACGTGCTGCTCCTCTGCTGCGGCCTCCTTGAAGAGCTCCTCCGCGTCCAGCATCATCAAACTTGGTGTTCTGCTCATCTGGATGTTGGTGGAGCCATCTTCATTCAGCATAAGGTGTCTGGAGGTGTTCTGCTTCATGAACGAGGGCTTGCTTTCCACAGCTTTCGGTGTCTGAGCCTGAGCCGGCGGATCCTGGGGCCGAGTCGGCTGTGGCGCAGGCTTACTTTCCACGACGGGCTTCAACTTCGGTGTGTCAGCCGGCGAAGCCGCCCGCGGTGGCGGCCGAGACAGCCGAGTTGTCTCAACTCGGAGATCAGGCTTGCCGTACTCGCACCGGATGATGACCATCTTTGGTTCATCTAGCTGCAACTGTAGCTTCTTGTTGTTGCCACCTTCCCACTTCGCATCCTGTCCGTTCTCGCCTGCAACAACCACTTTGAACTCGACAATGCTCGAGGACTTCATCTGCACATCAGCCGACGTCCATTTGGGAAAGCTTTGTGCAGTCGTCATGCAGGGTACACCTCAGGAGTTGCATTAGACAGCTAAGACTCCAAGCCCTAGATTCTCGATTCTCGACTGTGCAGCCTGTGCCTCCCTCCACTTTCCATGCCCCCAGCTCTGGTGCTGAGCCCACGATCCAAACTGCTTGCCCAGGCTTCGTGCGGCTGCAATCGATCCGGAATTGGAGTACAGACGACATATCGTCCGGACGAGGTGAGGGGCACGGCGACGGACGTGGCGTGGGCAGCATGTGCTTGTCAGTTTTGGCAAGTCTGGACGAGCTAAACACTCGGGTTTGCTTGGGCAAAAGCATCGCTTGCTGTCCGGATGTTTCGCAACTGCAGTTTTGCAGCGTCGATCATGCCTGTGCACTTCAATCCAGCTTTGCCCATATGTAGATACAGATCAACTATGCAGTTTAATCGTATGATGCCACTGTGGAAGCGAAACCAGCTTTGGGTGCAAAATGGCGGAGACAAGAGCAGTGACCCGTCTCTTACGTGAGGCGACACGTCCATCTAAATGCCACATGCTGCGAAAGGCAAACCCTTGGCCTGAGCCCGAGCACATGGCTTCGGATTTCATCGTCCACTTTATGCCTGGCACACTCTCCAATCTCACCGGAAGTCTACTAAGCCAACTACCGCCATTCGGCATGTTTGTGCCTTCGCCGCATAGCATCGAACTGGCAGGAAGCCGCTGCCTCCCGGATCGAAGCGTAACTTCCCGCACACATGCTCCACTCCGCCCGATCACGGCTCTAGGACATGCAAATACGCAGGCCCAGTCCACGGGTTGCGCTCCCGAAAGGGCGGAGGTGCTTCCTGATTCCTGCCTCCGCAAGCGCATCCTTTTCTAAGGACAAGCCGAGGAAAGAGGCCACTGCCCCGATCTCCGCCGAGAGGTCGGCCTCGACACTGACTTGTTGAAAGAAAGCCCTCATGTCGGATGCCCGGCGATTAGGGACCTTCAGGTCCTCAAAGTATACCACACCTCGGGTAGAAACTGGGTGTGGAACGGTAATTGCACAAGAGTGACTTCTGCCCAAGGTTGGAGCGGATACGATCCGGATGGTGCTGGGACAGCTTCCACCTGAATGCGCATGCTTGGTGCTGGCTGTTTCGCTGCTGCTGCAGCCTGTATTCCATCGTGCCCCATAGACCCCTGGGCAAGGAACCATCCCTTCACATGGTCAAAGTAGGACCCGCCGTACTCCAGCGACCTGATGTGGCATCCAGCACGTTTTCGTTTCTCCTCTGCCATCGGTACAGGAACTCTGACCGGCCTTTGGCCGCTGATCCACTGGTCTACCCATTCGTCCCAGCCTTGCGCCCCACGAATCAGGGCCATCGCATCATGCAACAGGCAACTCTTGCTACTTGTACTTGCGCTCGGGTCTGGGAGCCGCACTGCCATCCCAGCCGATGGCCTGGTTGTTGGCATGGTGATGCCTCCAAGTGCGGGGCAGTATTTTGCTATGGCAGTGGCCAGGATTCTTGTGGCACGAAGCAGGTGGCCTGAGCGAGATCAATGCATCCTACGAGCGGGCTGCTCAGTCACCGCGCAGAGAGGCCAGGTCCCGTGCACGGTTGCAGCGCGTTGCCCTGATATCAGCTAGCCCGTCCTTCGGATCGCGCACCACATAGATCACCTTCCAAAGATCTTCCGAACTCCCTGCATCATTGTGACACAAAAAATGCACCTGCCTTCCCGTACCTTTGAAGTATGCTGTCCTTGCCATGGGCCAATCCTGGATACCTGAGTTTCTGCGCCAATCCCAGCGTGTAAGTTTCAAAGAAGTCTGCACTTCTGCAGAGCTGGAGTTTCATTGACAACCAGCTGGAGCCCGAGCATGTCAGCGGGAACATGGCTCTTGAGAACGCGTGGGAGTGGCAGTTCCTCGAGTTTTCGGACCTGACTTGCGTCCCACCAGAACTGTTCCGTGTGACATACAACGGCTCGTCGCTAGCAATGCCAGTCTGGGCTCCTGCATAGGTAGCAGAGGATGCAATGCCTCGGAAAGCCGGGGTGAGGGCGGCGAGTCGGAGCAGAAGCAGTTGAAGTGTGACTGAGCAGCAGGCTCCCCTCGAGGAAGAGAGCATGATCTTCCTTGGACATATGAAACAAGTGAGCAGAATACAGGCGAGGAGTCAGCTGGAAGATATGCCGCGCTTTTCCTGTCGCACGAGACATGTGAAACGGTCCAGCGCTAGAAGAGGACAGTGCTGGGACCCAAGAAGGTGGGGATGAGATCCCTCAAGTCCTGGCGTTCCTCTATGTCAATTCCGCAGGCGCGGAAGTCCAAAAGCATGCTGGTGAGGCTGCTTGGGAGCCTCTGCAGCAGAGCCCTGGCTCCGACGAAGCTGATGCGGCAGCGTGCGAAGTCTACGCGCAAGTGTGCCAGCGACGACAGCTCTTGCAGACTTTGTGCTAAAGCACATGCCCCATCACGTCCAATTGAGCAACCGCCTAAACCCAAATGTAGCTTCTCGAGTTGTGGCGGAAGATTTCTCGAGAGTGCTACGCTTCCGTCTGCCTGAATGTTGCACCAATCCAAATCCAGATGCAATGACCGAAGTCCTTGTGGTATGCCTTCTGCCACAGCATATGCACCGCTGGCTCCAAGTGGACATCCCTCGAATCCCAACTGCAGCGCTTGTAGGCTTGAGGGCAACTGTGACATAACAACGCAAGCATCCTCGGCTAGGAGGTCGCATCCACCCAAGTGGAGCCGTAGGTCTTGCAGGCGCAGTAATTCGGGCAGGTTCTGGGCAAGGGCGCGGACACCTGCTGCTGGCAAGCGGCAGTCCCGAAAGTCCAAACACAGCTCTGATAGTTCGCAAGGAAGGTTGCGAGCCACTGCCCGCGCACCCTCCCCTCCAACGGGGCAGCCCCGCATCGACAAATGCAGCTTTTGCAAAGATGCCGGCAAGGACTCTGCAATAGCTCTTAATCCAGGGGTTCCTATGCCACAACCGCGAAATGCCAGTTGCAAGTTTGTCAGATTTCGTGGCAGTCTGTGCGCGAGAACAGCTGCTCCATCACTGCCGATACTGCACCAACGGAAACGTAATTCGAGTTGGTGGAGTTCGGGAGGGAGACGAGCAACCAAATGCTGCATACCTGCCCTGCCCATGTCGCAGGATACGAAGCGCATGCCGGACCGGAAGGCAAGATACCAGACATCGGCACTTTGCAGACGCCTCCAAGAGCTTTTGCAAAGCCGTTGGAGGCAAAAGAGGCCTGCGGGGACAAAGACCGCAATGTGCAGAGTCACGGCATCATGTGCAATAGACATGGGCTGGGAACGCCATTCGTGCTGCTTGCAAGGAATAGGCTCCGAGAAGCTGAGTAGCTATCCTGTCAGCAGAGTGCAACTCATATACAGAATGCTCACGCACTGTGTTTTACCTGCTGACGTATTTCCAGGCTGATCCCGCGTCCTACTATCACCGGTTCATGTCGGGGTTGTGGGTCTGCGCGGGTGCTGCTGTGCACAGAGAGCGAGAACTGATCATGTGCAACAGTGCTCCGACTTTCCATGACATGAACTCATCCGTGAGTCAGATGCCTGCATATGCACACAGAGACACTTGTGAGACATCCCGTCTGATCATGAACGAGCGTCTGCATTGTCCGACTCGGGATGCTGCATAGTTCGCACGCGGTCCGAAAAGACAGCTCACCACGATCTGAACCTGTGGCCAGTCCAATCTTGAAAGCAGTGGCATGGCGTCATACGACCGCAGTCTGTTCCGAGGCGCTCGCCATCCATGTAGTTCCACAGCGTGGGAAGGTAACAACAAACACCTACTCATCACACTGCGCATCTTGCAAGGGCATGCGTGCCCTCTGCTTGCAGATGACATACAATGAGGCTGTGGCATCATCTGTCTTGCAGTGGAAGACCTCCCTCAAGGCAAGGAACCTCGTTCGCGGAGCTCGGACATGCTCGGAAGCTGCAAATAACATATCAAAAGCTTGGGACTGCGCGTGGAGGCGGGGTCCAACCCGCACAAGCGCTCGGCGGCAGCAAGCGCCTGTTGGGACGATACAGGCGCACATTGCTGTCCGTATCACCTGAAAGCATAACCTCCGCGTGACGTCCCAATCCTGCTTGTTTCATCAGGACTTGTGCACTCAAACTTGCATTATGATTGGCTTCGCAGAGCTGTGCTACCAGCATTATAGGATGTGTAGCTCCTTCCAAACAGCGGCATGCAAGCGCGAGGCCTCGCAAGCATCAAAATCAAAATGCAAGGTTCGATGGATTCTGAGGACTTTCAACCGCTTCCAGGCTCTTTGCTGTTTCCGTGCCACATGAGGCCCACGCAGTTCAGATCGAGCGGCGCCAACTTCAGAGCCTCAGTGCACACACGCAGGCCGCCGAGTTCTGACTCAGCACTCGGAAGAACTTGGCAGTTCAGGGGCCAACTTCTTGAAGTGTCCGCAGTGCTTCCGAGTAATTGCCTTCCTGCGCTCGCAAACGATGCGAAGCGACAAGCATCCGAATGTGGTTTATGTTGGAGCTATTTGCACGGCGATGTTATTCGTAGCATGTGCTCAATGCTGCTTACGTGCTGGTTCTCTCCGCAAACCTCGACCATGACTGCAGCCAAATGGAACCTTGCCTCACGAAGTCTTTGGCACCTTCTCCCTCACTGAGAACAAGAGGAGCCTGTTTGGCGCCTCAACTCGACTGGGTTGAACTGATATGGCCTCTGCATCAGGAAGCGTGTATGAACAGGTATTCACACATCGCTGCATGTCAGCGGACATGACGCCTGCTGCAGTTGGTATTTTCGGCCATGAACATCCTCCGTAGGCAGGCGCGGCCAGTAATTCAGCTTAGTATCTTGTACTGTATGTGTGGGCTTCAGGCATAGACCGAATCCAAGGAACATGCCAAGTTGACGCCTGCAGAAACGCGAAGGTGTGACAATTTCTTACCTGCTAACTTCCGTCTGCCGCCGAGGGTGGCACGCAGCGCATATTCAAGGGCATACGACCCTGAACGAAGAAAACATTCCAAAAGCTTGTTGCAAGAACATGCCGGGGGATGCTGCCTTGAACACCTTGGGCTTTCAGATGCTGCAGCTGCTGGAGCGCCTTCTCCGACACCTGCAATGACTGCGCTGGATGCTGCAAACGCGAGGTGTCCGGCGCTCATCTTGGCTTTCTCACTGGCATGGCCTGTCGCGCTTGAACTCGCTGTTCGCTTCGAAGGAGTGCCTGCTCTGCTGCTTTTGACTAGCGACCCGGGTCTTCTGACTCTACAACAGGTCACTCCTGGCCGCAACTGTCGGGCTCGGCCATCGACATGAATCTAAACGCGGAGGAGGTGCGCATGCAAGGTTCACCTGGTGCTCAAGATGGCTGAGCTCATCAGCTTGCGACTTGACCTGTGCAGGGAACAGCGACAGGGCAGGTTATGCAGGAAAGATGCAGCGGTGGAAGCCTCTGGAAACTGTGTCCGCGCTGAAATCTCGGGAGTCTCCGTGATAGTTGCTTTCTCTGTCGGCCTCTGCCAAGCATTGAAGGATGCTGGGGCTCGATTGTTTCGTCGGAACCGAAGATCGCCACTCTCCGACTTAAAGGACCGGGCAATTTGTGCTTCTTCTGCTTCCGACATGCCTCGATCTCAACTATGTACACCACTATACAATCGAAAAGTTAAAGTCTGTTGACAGCTCTGCATGAAGTTTGCAACCCAGCAAGTTAGGTGAACATTCGTGCTGAGTTCTGAGATCTCTACCCACCTGCTTCTCTGCGGTAGCTGCAGGACCTTGCCAGCCGCTAGCAACTAAAGCATGGTCTGGCCTGCTCGCTGTCTGGGCGGTCTTGGGAGCGCGCAGGACAGACTGCCTGCCGTGCCTGGATGACCTGGGCTGTGGCGGCTGTGGCGTTGTGACTGCAGCGGCCAACCCCTGTTCAGCCGTCTCTGCATTGCACCCTCGGGTGCAAACTCTGCTCTCGGCATATGGGACCTTTGCAAACAAAACACTAACAAAACCATGTTGACGGCTTTGTACTGTTGCCTGCTCATCTGCACACCAGATCACCGGGCTGCCAGCACTGTCAGGTGTCTTCGCCCGCGATGTCGCCTTTCAGGGTTCAAAGCCTAACATGACAACGATTAGCCTTGGCCAACAATAAAGTCTGACCAGTGTTATTGTGCTAATTCAGCCGGTTGGCACCTGCACAGCTGAGCCCCCATCATCGAGCCACATGCCAAAGCATACACGCGGGGATCGCAGCAAGCCATCAGAATCAAAGAAGGCATCTAGACTCTAGCAGCGCCAGCGAGGCTTTGGCGTAAAAACCTATCTCGGATCTCGAGAGCGGCGATCATGGCTTTGGGATCTTTAAGACATTCTTGGTGGCCCATGGTTTGCATGTCCCACAACCGCTTGCATGCTTCAGCCAGTATTGCAAACATGGAGGTCACGGCGGCTGGAATTGCTGAAAGTCGTGTCGTGCCGCCCCAACATTGCAGCACTATGCAGCACTAGCATTTTCTAAGTTGATTCGCATCGCATCATGAGCTGCGCCATAACATATCCGCAGGCACGGACGATTCCAAGCCTCGGCATTGACGCGATGTCAGAAGTCAACGATACGCAAAGCTGCAAGGTGGCTGATACAGCGCGTCAGCGGATTTTTTGCCAACATCCGCACCCTTGTTGACCTACTGGGTGTGCTTTTGAAGAAAATCGAGTGTACCCTGACTGAGGCTCGACGAAGCGCCTCGTGCCCAATATGCATCGCAATCGGTGAGACTGCTGAGGAATACCTGTCCTGCTGTGCCCTTGAGATGCAGCGTGGCTTTGCTCCCAAGCAAGCGGGCCGTGTGCAGCACGCACGGGCTCTTGCAGGACGAGCTGGAAAAGCAATCTCTGTGCCGCATCTGCCACTGCCACGAGATCGCAACTTGACACATATGGTCAGTGGCATTTCAACCAGTCTTCATCCAGAAAAGGCATGCATGCGCTGACTTTGGGCAGCGGCAGCGAGTCATGCAAGGCTTCTTCTCAAAACCCATTCCTTTCAATCTCCAGGTACCTCCTCCTGGGATCACATTCGATGAACGCACAAATGCCAAGTTTTGTGCTGCAGCTGTTGCGGCCACTATGGGCCCTGGGCCCCCGCATCATCAGCATGTAGCTGGCGCAAACGTTGAACAACGGCCCCTGGTGAGACCCGAGACTGCAGCAAAGCTTTAAACTGTAGATGGGGAACGGCAGTTTGCCTGGAAGATCATGAGGTAGAAGCACGTAGCACCAACGAAAGTAATTCTGCTGGAGGTAAGTTTCATCACGTGCATAGCCTGCGGATGATCACCAAGCAGCATGCCAAGTCCCAACTTGCCAAGCAATCTGTCCGGTCAGCCTGCCTTCTGCTGCAGGGTTGCTGCCATACCTTGTGCTCGCATCAAGTCAGCTGCTATACTCTTGTGCCCTGAGCAACAAGAAAGCTCAGGATCCGGCTGGTAGGCACAGCGCACTGCATCACGTAGCTGCGAGGATCTTGTGTGACGAAGGAGGGCATGTCGTCCATGACGTGCATGACAAGGTTGGCAGCCTCCATGCCACAACCTCCGCCCATTTCTCCCTTGCGGAAGTTGCCGCGCCCGTGGCAGCTCGCCATGCTCGACTCGCAGGAGTCGCAGCCCTCGCAGCCTCTTGCGAAGTCCTCGCTAGTGGCGAATCCCCACATGCCAGCGGCGCCCATTGCCGGCATCACCATTCCGCCCATCCCCATGCCGCCAGGCAGTCCCATCCTCAGGTGCCACATATTTCACATTTTCAACAGCCAAAGTGGATGCTTTCTGCTAGTCTTCTCCCAAGGCAACGACAAATTGCACGTCAGCGCAGCCGGCATGTTCTGCATCCTCAAGGTGACAGCTGCATCCCCACATGCCTTCCGTGACCTTCTCTGCACACGTTTGTAGACCAAGGTAGCGACATGGGCACGCTTCCCATACCTTGCACGGGCAAATCGGTGCAGGTCAAAACAGATCCGGAAGCTGTGCTAAGGATGCAACAAGCATCCTGATGGTTCTGTTGTTCGACCTGCCAACTTTTCGGTGACGGAGCCTGGCTCGGTGTCTCATGCAAGCTGAAGCATGCTATCGTCATGCTCTGCGCGCCTGCTCTTGCCAAAGCCTCTCGGCGTTGCTTCTTTCTGCCCATCTTCTAAACCAAACCTGCGGAGATCACGCTGGCACCATACGATACATGCAAGCCATCTTTGGCAGTCCTTGGCATGAGACGCTCGTACTACCTGCACCGTCCACACCTCAGCTCGCCATGGCTTGAGTGCCTCTGCGTGAGCCATTCCAAGCTCCACGCGATCGCTTCCTCCAGCCCCTCTGGCACTCCAATGATGTTCACTGCCTGAACTTCTTGTATGCTGCCACGACCTATTTCCAAGGCTTCCAAGTTGCAGCGCACCCTGTCGCCACCAGGCCCATGGCCTAACAGGCACGGTCGGTGAAGTCATGTGTCAGGGGCTTCGCAAGGCTGGCTCGGATCAAATCTGCTTCTTTTTACTCGCTTTCATCCAGAACTCCAGAACGCCGCCAGAATCTTTACAATCAATGCGGCAGTGTCACTTGGCGTTCAGGATTCTGTCTAAGTATGATTTTCCCAAAGCCGCATCGTACCTTTGCACGCGCAAATCCCTACCCTTGCCATTATATACTCCGCAGCCGACTGGAAACTACACGACATAGCAAAATGACAGGGCAAAAAACGCTGTTTGAAACAAGCGGCTTCTGCAGAACATGTAGCACCACGTCATAGGAGTGATAAATCTCGTGCAGGATCAGCGCAAGCTTCAAGAGCTGATCTTTTGAGTGAGTCTGAAGTTCCCAGAGGTCGCGGACATAGACGGCATCGGCCCAGAGTTGCTGGGAGATGGGTTGCAAAGGGTTCGCCGAAAGGTGCAAAGGTTTCATTGGCCTTCCATGCAGCGAAACGAAGCGATGGAAGACAAAACCAAGGCCCCGAAGGAAGCTGTCCACATCTGCAAAAAGTGGTTGGTGCTCGTACATATCGACAAACTCCACCTCGGGAAGATCAGAATCACATCTCTAATGTAATCAGGGCGACCCATCACCGACAAAAATGAATTATTGCAGTTATACGCAGATCTACACCAACATGAACTGCTGCCGGGCGAAGCCTAGGGGCCTCTGTGTGAATCACCAAGACCTCCTTGAGCGCCTGCTCAGCTCCCTTCAGTACTGACAGCTCGAAGCCCTGTACGTCAATCTTCAAGTAGTCCACTCCTCTTCCTGGGATCTGGGGGAGGAGGTCATCCAACCTCCTCGTTTCCATCTCGGTACGCTCCACCACAGTTGTGACCTCCTCCAGCTGCACGAAGCGACGCAGCAATGGGATGTTTGGCTCTAGCATTGAAGAAGTCATTGCTGCAGAGCATCGTCGGAACTGGCCCCTAGAGCCATCACCCAAAGCCCAAGGCAAAAATTTAAAGACACAGGAGTCGGTACCTGCCCCAGACTCACCATCTGCACTCAAGCTGTCGATCAAGGTGTTGAGCCGATCACACTCTTCTGAGCACGGCTCAAAACCTACCACGGACTCGCAGTGGCCTCTCCTTTGCAGTGGCCGCCAAACTTCCTCGGCCTCGTCTAGAAACATGGCGCCAACGTCCACGACACGGGATTTGGGAAGAGACACCACGCCGTCTTGACTCAGAAAGTCTCGCAACGCAAAGAGCGGCGGTGGATGTTTCGGAGCTGCCGAAGCACCCGCCTGGCCACCTTGACCATTCGGCGTAGCCGACGGCACGGTGCCAGACGAGGCAGAGGAAGTTCCGGCTGGTGCAGACGCCAGCGGCTCCATGAGCAATTGCGGAAGTATTGCTTTGCAGTACTTTCTAGAAGGTATTGTGACATCGCCGCCGCTAAATGGGGCACGGGAATCGTGACCCCTGGATCTGTGTTCTACGCTTTTGCATGCAGTCGAATGCTTTTTGACTTCCCAGTTCATCTCCAAACCACGTTTAAATCTAGGGTAATTCACAAACAGTTGCAGCTCCAGCGCTGGGAAGGCAGGTGAAGTTTCAGACTTGGCAGAATCTATCTGGTAGAAACATTCTGATGTTGTTGACCTGCGCAGCTGGCAACGTGAAGCACGACTGCAGCCAAAGCGAGGAACAAGGCCAAGGATTGCTCAGCATACACATAGATAAACAAATCAAGAACTGATTACATGTGTGCATATATATATATATATGTATACACATATACAATTATATATATATATGTGTGTGTGTGTGGGTATGTGTATATATATACACACACATATTCTTACCATATTCTCTTAGAATACACGCCTTAACCTAGATTACTTCGATTTACGCCGCACGGATTTACGCCGCTTGCCCTGACCGAGAAATACATGCCGATATAACCTGGTATACGCCGATATGCTGATTGCGCTGCTTGAATTTGTAATAAGGCCTTGTTGCTTTTTGATTGGTTTTATATGTATGGTGGGGCTAATTCAAAATCAAAGCTCTTCAGCTTGGAGGACGGAGTTCTTGGGACTGACGTGGCATCCTCGATTATTTTAGAATCAATTTTCATTCTAGATTCTAGCACTGAACTCCGAAGATGGAGCTTTGGACCGATGGTGCCTGGGTGTATCGGCACACGGCCCGGATATCGGTGTAGTGCCGCGGGCCGGATATTGGTGTATCGGTGCACTGTACAGCAAGTCGGGCCGGATGTCGGTGTATCGGCGAGCAACTCCTTGCAGCCACTGACTGTGCCAAGCAATGTGTGTGCTCAGACACATATCTCCATAGATCAATGTGTGTATACATATATACATATATATATATATGTATATACGCACATGCCTTTATCTGTACCTCTATACATATCTACATACCTATGTACCTATGTGTCTACATATCTGTATCTCTAGATGTTCACACGTGTCAAAAAATGTGCGCATGCATATACATGTATGTGAACACATATATTTGGTTCATATGTATATATATATATATATGTATACATACATACATACATACATACATACGCATATTCAAGTACGCATCACCGTCAATCGAAATGACGATGGGCAGAGAAATTCAGATGGATACATATGTATATGAAAACGCACACATCACTTTACAACCAGACGTCTACTGTAGGTTTTGAAAAGTTGAACAGACATGCAGAGCATGCGCAACTGCCTATGGCGACGTCGTCCAGGTGTAAATGGCAGCCCGTTCGCAGCTGGAGCTCCCTCTCATTTGCCCCTGAAAACATGTACAGCGGCCCTCACTAGCTTAATGCGCTGACTCGGATCGTCTGTGTCATGCCTTTCACGCCGATGAGTGTGCTTATGCAGCACGATGGCATGACCTGACCCAAGTCGTGCCGGAGTGGCAGGAGCGGAAGTAGGTTCTCCCTAGAGCTCCAGTTGGTGTCGAGCAGCAATTGCCAGGCATCGCTCCCGATGCCCAGGTATGATGCACTCGGGGCAGTTGTTGACCATGAGCAAGATTTGCTTGACAGCAGCCACCTGGCAGTCTGTCTAGGCTTCCCGAACCATGTAGTACGCCATGCATGCGTGACGCTCCAAGTCTCTCCAAGTGACAATGTGCTCCCATCCTGGCGACTCGATAGTGACCACCTGTGCATTTGCTCAGTGGCAGACCCCAGCTGCTTGCAACGAGAAGCCAACCATGCCTGCTGCTGGGTGCCGGGATATGCATCGTCATATCCGGTCATCTGCAACATGCCTTCCAGTTCAGGGCAAGGTTTCTTGAACAGTATCGGACACATGCTCGTGCGTTGCAAATCACGAACACCGTCCCAGTGATGTTACGACTAAGCTGTACAGTACTACCAGCACCTGGAGCTTTCCTGGCCTTGTGCTGCCTTTTCGATGACTGATTGACTGAACCTCGGACGTCAGCGACTACAAGTACAGAGATGCAGTGATGGATTGAAGCCGTGAACGCAGTCAAGTGCAGGCCAGCACGCGCAATCGCACTGGCCAACGTCCGTGGAGCCAGCAGCTTGAAGGTTGGGATGCATAGGTCGGCATCCTCCTGCGACATGGCTGGTGTAATGCCCGAAGCAACCGCAACGACTCTGGTCCTCCCGTCTCGGTCTCTTTTCGTCACCTCCATCTTCTTGAAGAGATCTCTTCAACATCCTGCGAAACGCTTCTGATAGAGACCTTGGACATCTCGGTGCGGCGGTGCCTCGTGGCCGCCGCAATCTCCCGCAAGACACGCCTGTCAGTTGCCTGCGCGAGTACAGGCTTCATCACGATTGTTGGTTTGTGGGCCCGCACCTTGCCGTGGTGAGGGAATAGGCAAATGGCCAGCAGCTCGAGCCAAACATGGCAGAGCCGGTGCAGAACTGCTTGCTCCAGGGCTCAAAATCTCAAATCTCCACATGCAGGTTCTGCAACGACATACTTGCCTTCCCTCATTCGATCTGGGTGGCAGGCCTGCAAGCCCTGCCTGTGACCTGTGCGATGCCAGCAGCTGAAGTATTGACATGTCGTCGTAAAACGCACTGCCAAGGGCGCAGCACTTTCTTCCCTGCGACTTCGCAGGCAAATCCTGGGCGAGTCCCGGCAGCAACAGGAGTTCTACATTCTGTGCGCAAGACAAGGCGGGGACGTAACACCTGCTGCGGATCTGCACCGCCTCCCAGTGCCTCACGGGAACGAAGTGCCACTGAGAGTCTGGCATTGGGCCACCACTGAGGACCACGTGCACTCATGAAAACAGAGCCCGCGGCGCAGAGGCTCGCAGCGACAAAGGTGTCCCCAGCTCCCAGTGAATCTACAACCTTCGCAGGTCGAACTCTCCAGGGATCATGACCTGAAAGCCCTTCTACCACACGACTGTGGCGGCCTTGACTGCAAGCGCCTTCTCGAAATACGCCTGCAAAGGCTGAACCTAGAATCCAGCAAGTTGCAGCCATCAGGTATGCCGCCTCGCCGCTAGGAACTTCCTGGCAGAAACTGCAACATCAGTCAGTCTACGAGTCGGGTTTAAAGGTTGGCCATCAAAAGTGCTGATCCAACTGCCCCGGCTGAGCTTCTGGCCAGCGCAAAAGCGCCGAAGGCTCCCCAGGGACAAATCTGGGATGAGGGATGGGGCGACGGTCGAAGGCCCGAAGGCTTCTTTCTTCGGGCGGACTCTAACGGACTCTTGTTTGCACGGCATCCTTTCAGGGCGCGGCCCAGAGCGATCTCCACTCTGTTGCCTCGACGGGTCGACTGAACGGAGAGCGGCACCAAGGACAGCCCTAGGCAAAGGTCGCCTTAGAAGCAAGGGCCCGCAAACACTGCAGGGCCAGGTGATCCCGCCTGAGAAAGAATGTTCAAATACCAATGCTTGCCAACCACCATTTGAGATCCTGGCCAGTCTTCGGCTTGCCCTGCGGTGGCCTGCAGGCATTCACTCCGGCGGTGTCCTCACATGTTGGGACATGGCATTGCTGCACTGTGCCTGCACGTCGTCCGTGCCGAGTAAGTTTGAAGCTTGGGCCCGAATGAAGTCGCTAGAGAAAAATGCTACATCACCTCAATGCCGTCAACACCGGATGGGGTCGAATTATTGGGATGGTTTCGCAGTTTCGCGGCACTCGGAGTGCGGCAGCGCTGCAACAACGGAAGCAGTGCGCTCACCTTCCATGCACAACGGTGTCGAAAATTGAAGACTGTGCCAGGGCCAGGTCGATCAGTCTATACATCTTCCGAGGTCTTGACTTCCAAGGCAGGTTTCTCAACCTTCTTCTGGGCTGAGCTGCTGCTTCCAAGAAAGGCGAGCAAAATCAGCAGGCCTCGACGGAAAGGATTGGCTTCAAAGGAGACCTGCCCGAACCCTAGCACATGATACACGTCTCCGACTGCAAGTGAGGGTCTGTGCACTGATCACGGAGATACACTTCGAATCCACTTCGAAGGCTGGTTTTGCGGCGGGCTTCCGAAGATGAAAGTGCCGCACCCGCTCTCTGGACAAGCAAGACACGAAAGCATATCAACATGTTCAGCGTATCAAGAAGTTTCATGTTAAACCAACAGCATTAGACAGATCAGACCAGACAGCCGCAACGCAGACTTCAAGCAGGGAGAAGCATCGTGGTCGCCAATGCTCGGGCAAAAGAAACATCACAAGGCCTGGAGCTGGAGCCTCTAAGCAGCTGACGAGAACAACTTGTGCTTCGGTCTTGACCATGAGCTGCAAATTATAGGATTTGCCAACGTTCAAGGTCGCAGCATTTTGAATTTTGTCGTTCTATGTATCGCAAGTCTCAGCGCGGGCTTGCTGGATTTTGCCATCTCGTAGCGAAATTCATCCTGGTGCGTGTCCGCTGTCTGTAGCCTGCTGGTCGTTCTACGGTGCTGCTCTGCACATGTTCGGAGCTCTGTCCACGCAACGAACGACGTGCTGGGATCAGTGCAAATGGTCTTCAAACATTACTTTCACTTTGAGGGGTGTTGGAGAGGTGCAGCTCCTAAATCATCGAATCATGCAGCAAAATCAATGATGCTTCGTCGAACCCGAGCTCTGATTGGGGATGATCGCCGGCCGAAAAAAATAAAATGCGGATGGGGGAGTGTGCTAAACAAGGACGAGGCCTCAAGGGGCGGCATTGCTGACACAACGTGATGGCACCTTATGGTAGGGCCAGGGTCTTTGGCTCAAGCGTGCCCGGGTTTTCACATGTACATGCCCAATTGCTCTGGCAAATCGGGCGTATGCAAACGCAGCTTGCACATCTTGCACACCACCAATAGGCAATTACGAAAGCAAGAGGCCCTGTGCCTGAAGTCAGGGACTTCTGGACGCAGAACCGATGCCATTTGAAGCACCTCGGGCTTGTTGTTGCCGCTGTGCCTTCGGATTTTTCTCTATGATTCCCCACCCTCGGTGTGGGGTTGTTAGATTTTGCGATCAGCTATTGCTCCTCGCCCGCTGAGACTACCAAAAGGGACAGGTGCCCAACCCCACAGACTACTGTTAGACTACCTGGAGTGCAACCGCACAGACTACCGTTTTATTGCCGTTGGCCTATACAGTAGTTTGTGTAGGCCTAGCAAATGCATTATCTGTAGGGTGGGGATGTTCGAAGTAAAATAATTTTGTTGAGAACTTGAGGCTTCTGCGCCAGGCATCTGGCGGCATTCCAAATGACACCTCGACAGCTACTCTCGAAAACGCAGACTTCAGCGCGAGGAATTGAGCTGAGGCATGCCGAGGCCCTCGCCAGCACAGCGGTGCACCGTCCTCGACCTGCCCATCTGGCTGCTAGCTTCTTCGAGATGCTGTACGAGTAAGTAGGACGGCTTGCGGAGCCCTTGTCGTACGAGGAGCAGAGCCAAGCATCCCGCTTGTGATGCGGAGTCTTGCTCCGCTCAGGGAGAGCGCACGGAACACACACTGGGAATGGAACCGTACAGCCCCGTGTCAGTGCCGCGATTGCAACACTTTGTCTTGCAGTGTCTTTGGTGGTTCAGTCGCTGTACGCCTCTACTATGGGTTGGGCAAAGTCTTCGTGATGGGCCATCGTTCCAGTGTCGACTTTCTGCGATGTTGCCCTCGCCCGCCTGCTTCAGCACCTCCTGCAAATGACTCGCATCCATCTCCTTCAAACCACGTCGCCTTGGCCAGGTCTTGCCTCGTTTCTGGACTCTGCGGTCGCCCTTCGCCTTTCCTGAGTCGAGCACGAGGAGATGATGGTCCGTGCCCCGGAGTCTGCACCTCGCACTGCTCGCACCCCCACTGTCTGCTGTCTGGACACGAATACTATTTGTAGTGTAACCAGCCCCTCAGGCAAGATCTCAGAAGCACGAAGCTTGTTGGCAATCCAGCGTCATCGGCAGCGCTGCCCTTGAGCCAATGTGCTTGCATATTCACCACGCGCGTAGGTGTAGAGGCACTGGACTTGAGCTGGGACAGCAACCCTTTGAAGCAGCCTGCGCAGGTGCCGCTGTTCACACAAATTATGCAACCAAAGAGTAGATGATGTTTTGCAGGCAAGACGCGACGTCTCCACTCCTGGCGCGGCAGCATGGCGCGTCTCGCCAGGAAGCTGTCGGATCACGGAATGGATGCCTCCTGCTTGGAGGATCTTCAGCGCGAACTCGCCATCTGCATCTCCCTGAGCCGGGACTATACCTCGGCAGCTTCGATGCGACGGTGTTGCCTTCCCCCTTCTCCCATCCCCCGGCCCGTCACAAACGCTGAGGCCTGAGCCTAAGGAGCTCACACTCTGCCTTCCCACGCCAAGATGAGCATGATCACCCCAGGCCCGAACCGGAAGGGAAGCTATTGGCAGATCTGAGAAGGGCCCCAACCCTGATGGAACCAGCTGTGCTAAGACCTTGCCGGAACTCATGAGAAGTGTTGGGCGACTAGTACAACATACAAACTCTTCGTTGGCATCGGATTTTAAGAGTCCGGCTCGACAGCTGTTCGCACCATTACCTCCGTGCCATGACTGTCAAGGTGCTGCTTTGACGTGTAGAGCTCGGCTTCTTCCAGACTGTTTCGCTGCTCCCGAGAAGCTCAAGCTCTGGCCTCCCAACGTCTTCGTGAAGCCTGTTGCCCTGGCGCAGCGAGGCACGCGTGGCAAAGGGAAGCCAAAGCACCCTTTTCTGTACAAAGCGAGGAGCACTCCACGCCGAAACTGCACACGGGGAAACTCGAAAACAATCAGCGGCTACTTCGCCACACTCACGTTGGTAAGTGAGGACGACAGCCGGATGTCCTCACAATCATTGAAACATAATGTCCGCAACTGATCTGGATGCAGCCCGTCCTGATTGATTTCGTAGATCATCGCACCCACGGCCCAGTCTATCGGCTTGCCGGCGTGTGATGTCTTGAAAACAAGATTGTTTTGCTCCTGCATCTTCACCATTTAGGACCCATCCTTACGGATCACTATGACATGGGCCGTCCTCCATACCATAGCCAAAATTGAGCAGGACGTAGGCAAAGGTTGCATGGAAGCATAAGTGAGTTCGGTCATAGTCGTCCTGCCATCTGCAAGGCCATGCTTTCTGAATTCTGAAGTCTGTTCAACTAACTCCAGTTCCAATGCGGGGCTGTGCCGGATGAACTTGCCACATCCTCAACCCTGGCGAAGAGGGAATTGAGGATGTCGATGGTCAAAGAGCACCTACAGGCAACTGCGAAAGTCATGCCTTGGTCGTGCCCGGGAGGCTTGTTGGTGCCACGTGCTGTTCAGAAACCGACAGACTAGGGCGTGGACACGTACTGTGTGGCGGCTCTGAAATCTTCAAGTTGTGCGGTTTCGGGAAGCCCAAGATCTGAAGCGATGAGTGCGAAGTGCGCCTCGGCTTGATGTCACATGTGTCGGCGCAGGTTGCGAGTGAGGCCAAGGCAACTGGAATATTTTGTTGCCAGGAAACGAACGCCAGGAACTTCTCTTGATAAAGACGTGGTTGGTAGACCCCATAGAAGGAGCCTTAACATGTCACGGGCCAAGGAAGCCTTTGAGACTTGAGACCGCAGCAGGAGACAGACCAAGGGACATTGAGCCACCAAGCATGGAGCATCCTTGTTGAAAATTCTCATGATGAGCTGCTGGCATTGCATAAAGTCGCTCGTCCCCTGCATCTTCACCTTGGTCGAGAGCTCTGCCAGAGATCTGCCCGCGTGTCATGGTCTCCGACGCAGTGCAGGGCCCCCCAAGCACTGCCGGGCTGCTCTGATTGCTGGAAACCTGGCAGCACTGTACGAGAACTTCGGTGTGTAGATGTAGCCTTTGGCGAAGCAAGGATGATAAACTTCCGTCTCCTGGGGCACATACGTCTGATACACAAAACGCGCCGACATGGGTCTGATTGCTTGGCTGGTCACCATGATGCTAGACAAAGCGGCCGACTGCACCGCCAGGAGGGCGTCAGAAATAACTCTGCTGGCCGTGCTGTGAGCAGCCTGAAATGAAGTTCCTATACAGCGCTGAAGGCTTCTTGGCCGCAGCATCGGGCTGCCTCCCTAATTCCGAAGTGAAGGAATGAGAAGGAGTATAGCTGAAGCCGGTGTGGGCCTCAGAGCACCGAGCTGACAGGCCCTGCACTGCACTGCTGCGGTGCGGCGCTCGGCGCAATGCTAAGCTCTAGGCCAAGCTTCAAGGGAAACTCGTGCTGAATAATGGACTTCTGGGGCATGAACACGATTTGAGTCTTGGCTCCGCCGAATCTTCTTGGGATGGAAGTTCTCATGAAGCTCACACTGCTTCCAAAGGCGCAGAGGCTCCACCCAAATCGAGGGAACCCACGGTGGTGTTGGTCGCCGGCGTACGGTCTGGCTCCAGATTTCCAAGGAGGTAGTTCCTGCAGAAGCCAGCGAGGCTTGGGATAGCCGCGGCCCACGCTGGAGGCAGGCTTCGTTCAAGGCTGGGGCACCCACGCAGAAATCCAGCCGAAAACGCCTTCCTCCTGTGAAGATTGTGCGCACAAATAATGTTTTCCGAACTCTCCGCACGTCCGAAGCCTCGCCGGTGGCAACAGAAGCCATGTCGTTGCCTGGACTCTTTGCGGGGATGGCATGGATTTCAGAGCAGTCGGGGCTTTTACTTCAGCCTGCACGGCATACTTAGTCTCAACCCTTGTGCGGGTGAAACGACAGTCCTGCAGTGTCGTCCTAGATAACACCCGCAAATCCAAAAATGATCATCATCGCTTGCATGGATCTCACACAGTAGCAGTGAAGCTTTTGGGACTATCTGCTTTCAGCTGTCCGAGCAGAGTTCCGCCCCAAGCAAGGTCAGGCTACACCCGCAGAATCGTCTGTTCCGTCTCTGTTCTTTCAAAGTCTGGAGCTTCAACTTCTCAACGAGCCAATGCCGTAGATCACTCATACAAACGTCACTCGATGAGATCTTAGGTCAGTGCCAGCTTTCCGTCATGCAGACTATCTTCGCTTATGCTGAAGATGCCTTTTGGTTCTGTTCTTGAGCACATCAGCCTCCCACGAGCACAGCACAGCTGAGTCGCGGGCGGAACATAAAAGGGAGTGTTCGGAAAAATGAACGGATGTCCTCCTCAGAGAGTTGCAGTTGCCTTACACTCAGGCTTGGCTGCGAACTCCTGCCGCCTAGCATCTAGAATCGCTTCTCGCTGATCTGGGAAAAGCAGACGCATCCCTGCTGTCGCGCGAAGATAGATCGGCATCTGAGCCCATGTTGCCGCTTCCTGAGAGCTATCGCTCCGACCACACGCCGCAATGCAACTGAACGTAGCAGCTCAACTGGGATTCATCGGTTTGGCCGGAGTGTTGGAGCTGAGCCAAAACAGTTCTGGAAGCAAACTCTGAAAGGAAGGCAGACTTGGCTTCTTGCAGCTTTGTGTTTGTGTGCACATTGCTGAGCCAAGAAGCTTGAGTTTACTCAGTATCAAGAACTCGACACACCCTGCTGTCGAACGTTCATGGCTTGGAGGTCAGCCAGGCAATAGTGCTCTTTGCCAGCTAAGCATCGTGCTTCAAAGTCTGCATCATGTAGTCCACCAAGGGCTTCAGCGACTCCCCGGCTCTACTCGGATGCTGCGCGAAGGAGGCAATGCCAGGTTCCGTACCTTGCTGGTTGGACTCCGGATATGGCGACACATGCCTGTACCCAGCAATGATGTGTGAAGCCACTTTGAATGTCTGGTGTTGCATCTCGCAGCGTAAATCGTTCAGCTGGGGGACTACGATCTCCGACAGTCTCGGGAGAGATAATCACACCTAGGCTGGGAAGGCTGCTCTTATGCTCTCGATTCCGAAACCCCCAAGGCTGCGTCGGTTCGTGTCTGCAGGCTTCCATCGGAGGATGTAGATGCGGGATCCTTCACTTCCTGTCACTGATGCAGCACGCCTTTGTTGCAAGTCGTGGTGTACCACCACACGTGCACGAGCAAGCGGCCTCCGTCGATGAATGCACCTTTCCGGCACATGTGGCTCAGGCTAAGTCGCGCTTCCCAGCGTCAAGGTCTGGAGTCGAGTCGCCATATCGCCAGCTCGATCCCGCGTTTGCCTAGTGAGTCTTGCATGGTCGATAACTGTGCAGGATTCGCTGGTGCTGCTGCTCGCTGAGGTGCAGACCACAGCTATGGGGAAAGCAAGAAGCAGGATCCAAAGGGACATGGCGCCAGAGTTCTATGGCGATTACACTACACTCTAGGCGCACCAACTTGCAACTTCGACTGGTAGAAACCTGGCCACGGCATCTTTGAAGCCTTACTTGACACACTGATCGCTTTGTTTGCTTCCAATACCTTGTGGTTTGACCCCATAAACGGCAGGAGCCATCGGAAATTCGGCCACTGTTTGGTCAAGTGTCCGGTCTCCAGCCCTGTTCCATGCAACCGAGCCTTTGCGACGAATCCTCTTTGGGATACGATGGAACCTGCAGAAGGTATCGCAGTCTTGCTCTTCAGCCAGAACCTAAGACCTAAAAGACTTCATGGGCAAGAGAAGTGCGAATTCCTCCAGGACACAATCCAGGCAAATGTTGCCGTACAGGACGAAGCGGCCTGTTGCAAGTTGTGTGAGACTGCTGTATCTGACCTGAGAACTTGCGAAGCCTGAACACAGGACGGCCACCAGCTGCTTTATCCTTGCTCAACCGCCAAATCACGTCCTACCTACCTACACACTCATAGTGCTGTGAGACCATGGCTTTGCCATGTTACGACACGAGTCAATTGGCTGAATTGGTCAAAGCATTCGAATTGGATCCAAGAGTTGAATCTAAATACTTCTGGATCCGATCTTCCACTCCATCCTCGAAGCGTGGCTTCGACAGGTCCTTCGTTGGCCTTTTGGGGAAAAGGGCTGCTTGTGAGCGAAACCTGTGCTTGAGTACATGCCTCAGGCGCTTGCGGGAGACATCCATGCCCTTTTGGGTCAACATCACTCGCACCGCGCCACAGCAAACCTGGCGAACCGTGGCCAGGTAGCTCGTCGTCAGCACTAGGTCCACCTGCACCAGGACCTCTGCACGCTCGGAAGCTGAAATATTCCCGTGCTCCTGCAGCTGGCTGGATGCTGCCTCCAGAATCTCATGGTACGTGACAATGTTGTAGATGTCGTCTTGAACCTCAAAGTCAGAGTCCGAGGGCGCCAGCGTAAAAACAGCTCCTATCCAGTCCATGTCAATCAAATACGTGGAAGAACAGCCGGGAACATAGTGGCAGCTGTCATGGCCGTACTTTTGCGCACCATGCTTCACAAGCGCTGGGTTGTCAAGCTTGGAACAAAGTTCGCCATCGGCATATATCATGATTCCCAGAAGGGCGACGTCACTGGAGCGGATCCACTCAGGATTTCCCTTCTAGGGGTCTGCGGTTGCGCTCTTTCAGCTACGGGTAGAGAAGTTGTGAGCACAATGCAAGCACGAGCAAAACTTTGTTGGCCCTCCAGCCTCGTACTTGCCCAAGCAAATGAGGCCAGCATGCACCGGCAAAGCTGCATGGAAGTAGAGTGGCTCTGCAGCATCAACCTGATCCACCCATACCTTACAGAAGCTCCAAGGAGAGAGCGAGAGAAAAAGGCAGCACAGCAACACCAAGAGGGTTTGCTAGTGGCACCGAATCTGGCAGGGCCACCTCCATTCTGGGATATGCAGGGCCAACCTTGAAGGTGGAAGCAAACTTGACCTTGCCTGCAAACTTGCCCCACGTGTCTACGAACTCACCGTCGACGACCAAGTCTTCCGCAGGCTTCGGATGGGCAGCGTAGCCTGCAGGGCGATCCGACGGCACGGAAGAACTCTTCTTGCATCTTTCGACCCTAAGAGACAGGCACATCCGTGTCGGATACCTAAACGGAAACACTGTATGGGTGGCAGTGGCTCTCCTTCCGAGTCGACGGCATCCTTGCCCACAAACGGCCCTCGCAGGATTGGAGCTGTGACCGGCCGCGGTGTCCGAAGCTTTTCCAGCGCGTCCTTAATACGCTTCTTGATGGGCCAGACATCATCGATCCGGGCCTGGATTTTTCGATCCAGGAGCCAATCTGCGTCGGGTGGTGTTTTGCTGGGGGATGTGCGCAAGGCATTCTCTGCAGGTGGGCTCAGCTGCTCTGCCTTCACGTTTTCCAGCAAGGAGCCGTCTGCAAATCGTACCTGAAACACTCCGTCCTCCGTTCGCCGGATAAGCTCTGCCACGAACCTCTTGGCACCATGAGTTTCGACAAAGACTGCCACTTCGCGGGTGTGCGGGCTCACCCAATCCAGCTCAGGCAAAAACAGCTCTTGCAAGTACTGCTCCTCGACACACTCGGTATCCCCACTGTCAACTTGCACCGTGTACTCGTAGTTATGTCTCTGTAGAGCAGCGCAAACGCCAGTAATCTTCCCGAAACGCAAGCATCCAGAGAAGTCCCGATTCCGAGACTCGTCGATTTTGCAGTAGCTTCCTACACGATGGCTGCATGAAGGCGCCGAGCCCATTTCAGCAAGCGCCCACGAAGAAAACGCTGCAGCTTGAGCCATATTGAGCCATGTCGGATTGTACCGGTCATTGCGGGCACCCGAAATAGCTTGGAAAGCCAAGCTAAACGGGCTTTGAGTGAGATTGTTTCTGCATTCCAACTTCCGGCCCTGCACGGTAAATTTAAACACTACCGTCGACCACCGTTCTATCAGAATCCTGATAGCTATCATTACTACTAACAGGTCTGCCTTGAAGGGGCCGCGGAAGAGGAAACAACTTCTTCGACTGCTCCTGCAGCAGGAAACACTGCACTGCAGCTGAGAGATGGCCAAGCTTATGGGGCCTCGTCCTCGCGTCTCCGCTTCATTCTCCGCTGGTTACCACGAGGCCACACTCATGAGCCATGAAGCATTGCCTATGTTTGCCTATAACCCCGCTCGCACTCGGCTGCTGGCATGCCTGCCTCAAAGATGCATACTACTACTTGCGGGTGGATTGACACTTCTTTGCATTCTGCACGTTTCCTCTCTCTGTTTCCATGATAAGGCCTCTGCTTGGAAAGTGCTTCCGCTTAGAACCTGCAGCCCGTTTAGCTCGCGTCAAGATGCTGCCAGACACTCTCTGCATTCTCAGCACTTTGGGTTGGTCTTGCGCAGCGTTCTGCGGCACGGATGGTGTTGTGCAGACATGCTTGCGTTTTCAAGCTTCTTTCAAGTCCAGGCGCTGCAAGGCTTCTCTGGCGGACCCCAGCTGCTTGGCCACTCGAGCGCGGCTGAATATGACGGGACAGCCCTCGTTGAGGCATCGTTCGCTTGCTTGGCCTTGATCTGACACAGGCTCGTCGGCAGGCAGCTGCGGAAACCTGCCAGGGTGCAGCACGCACGGATCCCAAATGGTTTGTGGAAGGGGGCGGAGACGATGCGAGACGGGTTGTCTTTTGGTTTGGTGCACAGGAGGAAATCACTTGAGTAGCAAATCCAACACGTGCTCAAAAGAAGGGCACGCCACGCTCCAGAAGGCAGGGCACAGTCTCGAGCGCATTTGGCGCGCAGTTGCCTGAGCTCCTCGGCCAGGGCGTGCGCCCGGCTCAGGGCCTGGGCCTTTATCTCTGGCAGCTTCTCTTTGCAAAGTGTACAGACAGCACCGTCGTTGATGTCGGCAGAACACGATAGACACTTGGGTCTTGGCTTCACGAACTTTCCCATGCCTCCTTTCGTTGAGACAACCACCTTCTGAGAGGTAAGCCCGCTAAACAGAAGGCTTTCCGCCTTTTGCACGTCACCGCACACCAGTTCAAAAACTCGAAGGAGCGGCTGTTTCAATTGGTTCTCCAAGTAGTAGTCTGCGTCAATCGGGAGATCATTTTCCAGCGCGTAGAGCGGGTCTTCTGCTTTTTCGTAGACTTTTGCCTTAGACGCACCTGCAAGAACCAGGTAGGACACGCGATCTCCCAATCGTGGAGCAGTGCTTGCGTCTCTCTTCTTGAGCTTCTCCGCAACCTCTGCATGCGGGGCTTTCGCAGTGTACTCATTCTTGCCCAAGGATTTGGAGATTACTAGGGACCGGAAGTCGATCTTGTTCTGCCTCAGGTCATTGCACACATCACGGACGTACGCAATGGCCTTCTGACAGCCATCGGATCCATCAGATGCTAGCAAGCGTTTTAGCGTTTCTTCCAGACCGTGCCGAACCAAATCGCACCAATCGCGCCTAACAGTCTCAATTCCTTTCGTTTCCAACTCCGGCGTGCGACTCGAAGAAGCAAATGCCATACCGGCATATCGTTTCTTGGCCATGAGAAGGAAAGGTTGATAGACTTTTTCGAACTCCAATCGAACCGGGGCAGGGAAGATCGAAGAACACACCGTGGACGCCTCCTTGCTGACCTTGATGGCCTCGTCCAGCGCGAAGCCTTCGGGCCCAAACTTTACCATCACAGAGTCCGTATCTCCATAAACAACTTCTGCATTGTAGGGGTAGCCGAGCCCGGTCGTGAAGTGTTGCTCCACCTTGGCCTTGGTAGCCTGGATCATTTCTCGACCGTACGCAGTGACAGCACCAGCGACCTCCAAACACGGAAGGGGGCCGTTGGTCGCCCCGGTGAAACCGTAGACCGAGTTGGCCGACAATTTCAAGGCGAGCTGGCGACCATGGAGCACCTTGCGGCGCGTGGCTCCCGCTTCGCCCGGCTCGCACTGTGCCAGCTGTGCCTTGGCCGCTTTCCGTGCTGCGAGCAGCCGCTCCAGGATGGAGGGAAGGAGTCCCTTGCGGACCTGCGACTTGACGAAACAAGTCGCATGCTCGCTACCGGTAGGAGGTGACTCTGTAAAGTCTGGGCAGTCGGGCTTCTTCTCCCGACCCGGAGGGAGCAGAGTGGAGTAGCAGAGGTTGTGTGCCATCATGATCGAGGGGTAGAGAGAAGCGAAGTCCAACACAGCGATGGGACATCGATAAAAACCACATGCTGGCTCCAGCACCGTCGCACCCTCATAAGTTGTGTCTTCGCCAGTGCCTCCGGAAGTGGTCTAGATTCTTTGCCTGACCCCTTTAGTTTACTCTACAATAAAGTCTAGCAACTTTCTGCCTCACAATGCGAGACAAGCCCCTCCTGCAAAGCCCCCAGCTTCCATGCTATGCATGGCATGGCAAAGAATACTAAACTTACTAAACTACTGTATCTCAAGACAGGCCTGAGGCCTGGAATGGTGCACCGTCTCAAGACTCATTTGTTCGACTCAAGCCTGGTCGCTGCGGAAGTACAAATCCCCGAACTTTGGCTTCTCGAAGGAGTTGGCACTGCACCTCCGGCAACACGTCACTTTTCTTTCAGCAGGCTTCCAAGAACACCGAAGCTTTTACACCCTTGCACGAGTCCACGCCTTGATGGCCTGACCCCGCTCAAGCAGGTAGGACAATGGACAGCCGGTGACTCGGGCCATCTCCTGAGAAACGGCACTGACTTAAAGATCAAAACAGAGGACAGAGGCAGGCGGCAGGCGGTTGCAAGCTGGCCGAGGCTCCACGAAGTTGTAGAGGTAAGCGAGGTGATGGAAGATGTTTGCGCTGGCTTCTGCTTGCCGAAGCAGGTGCTGCGCATAGGCGCGCGGTCGGCACCGAAGAATTTTGGCTCGCGTTGCTGCGCTGAGCTCAGGCAGAGGGATTCGACAAAAATGTTGAGACAAGGCACCTAAGGAGTAGTCCACCAAGCGATGATCCTTCTCCACCTGCTTTTGCAAGTCGAAGCCCAGCCGCCCGGTCATGCCAGAAACCTCGTTGCTCTTTGGGGTAAGCTTGACCTCCGCTCCGAATCTTCGGCAAAGACTCCGGGCCATTGGAGATCCGGCTTTCGCAATGCTTTTCTTGCCCAGCATTCGCCGCACGGTCTCGGACAAGTCGTAGGTCAAAATGATGTCGGCATCCATTGTGGCAAGCGTCCTGGGCCAATGTTCCTCCCACCATCCATGACCGAACAGGCTTCGTGGCTTGGTTTCCGATCGTTGCATTACCTGGCCTTGCTTGGTGCTAAACCTCTCAAGCCCTTGGAATCTTGTGGGACTGCAACGTGACCATGACAGCTTGAGGACAAATGACGTGGACGACACGACCGACTCTTGCATCGCCGCAAGACAGCCCACCTCCGCACCTCCGCAACCAGGTTGCAGCCGAGGCTCTCACCCAGGTGCTGCAACAAAACCTCCTCGTCCTCGGAGAGGAAGAGGACGGGTGTGTCTGCTGCCTCCTCTGCAAGCCCGTAACACTTTCGCGATATGAGTCAAATCTGTATGCAAGCAGGCGTCCTCAGTCACATGCTGTGTCGCCTCGGGTGGAGGACTCAGCGGAGTGATTTGATTAGGCTGGGATCAGGCTGCACCCGCGGACCTGTTGCTTGTCAACCGTACTGCTTTGGCAAGGAACCTGTGCACGGAGCCAGACTGCCTTTGCCTTGGGCTGCGCTTGCCCCTCCACAGTCAGAACGCATGCAGCGGCGGTCACCGACTGCAATTCTGCATCGACCTCAGCTCTCATGAAAGCTCATGTCTTCATTCGTTGACACTACTCCCTTCTATGGTCCAGCAAAGGCACAGCCAGCTCAAGCGCAGCTGTTCTCAGAGGAGGAACGAAAGATCCAGCATCCGTATCCTTGCTTTTCATGACCGCAGGTGCTAGGAGCTCCGGTGTTCATGGGTGCTCATGCTGACTGGAACAGCCTTCACGCTCTCCGAGAGGCGAGAGGCAGTGCACGAAACTTGGTTCCATGTCCGAGATGTACGTCCAGCTCAATTTGTGCAGTGGTACTCCTACAGTACACCGCACCGTTCATGTCACAGAATGCGAAGCATCAATGTTGCTTCCATCGAGCCGTGAAATCAAATCACGTCCTCGACGTCTCACTTACCACCAGAAAGGCCCCGGCTTCAAACCTGAGCTGGCCCGGAAGCGAGTTTTCGCACTTTTGTGGGTTTCTTTCTCAGTCTAGAAAGAGTGTGAAGGAAGCCAGAACAAGGACAGGCGCTCGATCCAGCGTCCGCCTCCCAAGTCGTTGTCGATGAGGAAGCGCAGAATCAATGCCTCAAGGCAAGCACGCGTCGCTTGGACGGAAGAGCCGTGCAGCATTGCTTTGCCACCTCTTTGGTGCAGCTGGGGCTCAATGTTGGCCTCAAACACAGCCGTGGCCTGTACCTCAGAGTGGCTCAGCTGGAGGCCTTCGAGGGCCTGCAGCAGCTTGCTCCACGACTCTCTTGATTGCCACTTGTACCGTATGCGCATGTGCTCGATCGTCTGTGCGTGCCTTCAAGCATGGCGACACGAGCCTTAGGCAAAGCCGAGGGGTTGCGAAGGACTGTGCGAGGCAAATGAACAGCCGCCAATGTGCAGAGCTGCGAATTCGCACTACAAACAGCTCCAACATCTCTGAGAAAGTAGCTTGGGCCCGGCAACGCTGACCATGAGGAGGAACTCTTCAGCTTGGAAGTAGAGGATGGGCGTCCGTCGGACTACCTGGACCTGAAAGTGCGCACTGTCTTGAGAGCCTTTCAAACCATGCTGTGAGCGCCGCTAAGCCAGGGCGCTGCAACGATCGCCTTCTGCGATCCTGCCGGAGATGGTGGCATGGCGGCTTGCAGAGCTGCTTGGATTTCGTTCTCGCGACCCACCACTTCCGGGCCGCAACGCACGTAGAAATAGGGATGAAAGTTGTGGATCCTCGCGCAGACTGAGTGGCCCTGCTTGGTGATGCCATAGAGCCGGAGCTCGTGGTTTCCTCCAGTGGAGGATGGCCCATCCTCGATATCAAGCAGGAAGACTGCGAGAGGATCTCGCTCCGTGAGAACCGGTGGGATTGGACGAGCCCAGGCAGCTGGCGCTGGT